ATCACAAGAAACATGCTAATTTTTACCACTAAAGAAACCAACAAAGTTAGATATCCTTATTTCGGTGAATTAAAACTAATCAATGAAATAAGATTTTGATCGAATACGATAATAATTCAAAAACAACAACAAAGAAGTAAGCTTACTTCGATTTCCAATTTCATCTCGGTCATCAAGACAGGGCAAAACAACAGAAAGAATTTGAGCAGCTAGAGGTAGAAGTTGGAGTTTTTTAGTCGTGGAGATGGCAATAAACTGGCGAATCCATTGAAGTGTAGTAATTTGTCGTAGACGTTCAGGAGGGAGATTCGAATCGGGGAAATTTGGCACAACCTCGATGGACGAATCGTCCATTGGAGAAAGGACTTAAGAGTGGAAAAAATAGAGTGAAATGCGATGCGTATTTATAAGAATTCAATAAAATACTAAAACAAAAAAACTCACTGTTTGTAGACTCTCGGCAATGATAAATTAATATATTTATTAACTGTACAATATCAACAGAATCAGGATCTTGAACGATACTCCGTAAGAATTCATTCAAAAGAATATCACAACTAAAGACGTCTAAAAAGGACAATTAGTTAATTACTTTCGACGAATGTCAGGGTTTTCGTCCCTAAGAATGTTCAAAAGACCACTGAGAATTTGTGGAATACTTTTGAGGACTTTAAACTCAGGAACAGAAATGAGAGAAGATATCTAAACAAATTGATTAATATGAGATAGGCTTTACCCAACAGACAACGAATTTGCGAGTAAATGGAATTCGCGTCTTCAATCGTTCTGAAATAATGTCCATAAAAGAGTCGATATCGATATTACGATTTTGAATCACGATATCACGCAGAAGACGATCACAATGATCCACAACTTGACGAACAGACATTTCTGAATCTGCTGTTGCCTAAATACAAATCATATGTCTCTGAGTATATCGAAGTAACTAACCGTACAAAGGGCCTCAAACAGATCATTAAGATATCGTAAGGCATGAACTTGAAGAACTTTGAGTATATTATAAAGAGATTCGCATGCACAATACCGGATCTGCGCATCATTGTCCCGAAGTGCTTGAAAAATTGGTGCAATAAGTGCATCCGAATAAAGCGAACAAGTCTATGAAAATAGTTAACTGATCTGAATTTCAAACCGGCCCAAGTCCAATCGCAACAGACGCTAGACCAAAAAGTCCTCCTTTTCTAACATTGACATTAGGAGAGACGATAAAATCTTGACCTAGAATTTGTAGAATTTTTTCGATTTCTTCCGCCTTTTCTTTTAGGACATATGTCTTGACCAGCCTTTCGAGTAAAACGGAGTAAATCAACCCTTACCGTTCCACTTCCATAGCACCAGCCTTGCGCTTTTCAAATAATTTATCACATAAATTCTTTACACAAGCATTAGGTAGAGACCTGGACTCCCTATAATTCATTTTACAGTGGACAAACTTCACAGAGAGCGGGAATGCTTAAATAACCTTCAAGACAACTTATTAGTAATAACCCAAATAAATTTGGCAATAAAATTTAAAACCAGCCGTTAATTATAAATAAAGATATATTTGAAACAAATATATTGATATCAATTAGACATAGCTGTTTATTTTATGATATAATGCATTATTATGTCAATTGTTTATATGACCTGGTTGGATGGTGCCCAATTAGATTATTTATGCAGGGCGGTCGTTCTCCAAAAGTCGCTTCTACGTCGTTATTCCGACTGCTAAATCCGGAACTTTTTGTTAAGCCCGTAACCTTACGTAAATTACTTTTTATTTCCTTTAGAATAAGCCTGTTATGCTTTTCGGCTTGGCCAGTTTTGGATTTTGCGCCGCCTTTTTAACTGTTAATTATTTCTCAACTGATAATCGAACTACTGAAGAATCCTCAATTCTTAAGCCTAAATCGAACTGGGATTAAGATGTATAACTACAGCTTTTTCTTTCCTCGGCTTAATCTCTTTACACAACCCCCATCCATTTTTCTCAAAAGTGATGATGCTGATGAGGAGCGTTTGCTAACTGAAGCTGAAATTGCTCTGGATCGTATAGAAGCCCTTATTAAATCAAATGTAAACTTTTTTATTGGTCTTTTTTAGCTGAAGTAAAACTGTGAAATTGTTTGTTTTAATTCAATAGGCTAGTGATCAATTGCTAAACAGCCCAAGCCATCTCAGTAGATTAGGCCGAGCTTCGGGCGATTCTCAAGTGTCAAATAACCAAATGTCTGGGACTCAACAAAGTGGTAATCAAGTTCGCTCCTTTTCACCTTCATATTCTTCTCCCGAGTCTTCCCTCTCTGAAATGGACACTGGCGCCCCTATTCAGCAATCCCCGGTCGTTGTTGTCACTAGAGACATCCCTCCTCCTGGTAGCACACCCATTCCCGAACCTAATTCCGACCAGTACTCTTTTTGGTAGCTGGTACTCTCTTGTACTTTACTATTCATGTAATAAATTGTTCCTCGAACTACTGTCCTCGTTTCTTACCTCTTGTAGTTTGGCTCTACTAAAATGACTTCAGTAGGGAGGTTAAATTTTGTCATGCAATAAGCACTGCTGTTTGAATCGTCGCTTAACTAGTTAACTAGGATAGTGTTTTCCCATTCTAGGTTAAGCCTTTGCAACCCCTAAAAAAGCCCTGGAGCCTGGCTAAAAAGGCTGTGGTGTCACTGTTAACAGCCGGTGGAACGTTTATCGTCTACAAAGTTGTCGTCAAGGCACCCACCTATGATGGTCCAGAGGTCGATCTTCAGGGTAAAACCATCGTAGTTACTGAGGCGGCAAGTAAATAAATTAGTATAACATTTTCAATTGATTTATAGCTGCTGGTTAACATTAAAAACCTGGGTCAGGGTCAAATTATCTCTAATTCAGCTGTTACCTCATAACTTTTGAATGGATTAGAGTGCAGCATCCTTCACTCTTCTACGGTTAAAAGCTGGCTCTTTTTAAGAAAAATTCTGTTTAACTTTTTTCTCAATTTCATTTGCATTTCGAAACCGCTTGTGCATGTCAAAGAACTATCCTGTTCCTTCGATGCAAACTTCCATAGGTTATTAAGGGGCTGGTTCAATCAGAGGTTTTAATACGCATCAACAAAATAGTTAGATTGTCCCAATTTTGATACGTCATTTAAGTTTCTATTGTCCTATCTAAACCTTTTAAGCCACCTTTGACAAGGACTGTTTCTTAATATCGACCACAAATTTCGGTAATGATTTTAGTACCCTTGCCGGCGTTCAAGCCCTGATGAGAAAAAAGCAGCTTGCGAGATCTGACGTGTTCTCTTATTTTTGATTGGACAATTTTGCCCCCTACAATAAAATGCAGCTTAATTGCTCATAGCTTATGTTAAACATTCTGTCCATTGGGAAGAAAATTTACTTTCGGATTTGCTTCCTTCACCGTTTCTAGGCGCAATATGGACTCCAACATGTGGTTGTAAATCACTCTATTTCTTAATAGTATCCATTCTCAATCCCCTCCCCCCCCCCTATCCCACCTCCAAACTGTCAATTATTCGTGTAAATTTATAAATTGCAATAGTATCTCCTGAATTTCCCTAAATGGGGTTTTATGTTAGTCTCTTCGTGCAGTTTATGCGTCACGTCCTATATAAAAGACATCTGCTCTAGGTTATTTTCTATCTGTTTTAAGACCGGATGTCACGTAATTTGCTACGAGAATTGGCTCAGCGCAAGGCAACTCTAATCCTAGCAACAAAATCGATGGATGATTGTGAAGATACACGCTATCGTTTAATGCGAAGCGTTCCAGGTGTTGAGGAGACTCATATCGATTGTCGACGCCTGGACCTAGACAGCACTCGATCGATACGTAGATTCGCTGGATCATTACTTGCAGATTACCCAGGTGGTATTGATCGACTGCTCATTCATCCACCGAGTGTTCTTACTGGTGTTATTGCTGGTGATCGACGTCTGACCCATGATGGATTTGAGCACCAATTGGGAACAAATTTCTTCTCATTTTACCTTCTTTCTAGACTCCTTACTCCCGCTATGCAGGGTCCAAACCGAGACGCTCGAATCATCTTCACACTAGATACTCGTGCTGCAGGTTTTGCAGAGTCTGTGGCTGACAAAGATCCCAATACGGGATCTCCTCTTCTCCCGATCGATAATTGGAACTGGAATGAGGGTTACACGCCTTCAGCTGGTTATCAAAGAGCTCAGTGGGCTCTATTTCTATTTGCCGGGTGAGTCATTCTGGAATTTGCCGAATATGCATCGCTTTGTTTGTATGCATTTGTCTATCTGAAGGTGCATGCCTAGTTTATGTTCCGCATGAGTTTTCTAAGCGTTATAATTTGATTTGATTTGATCTTTATCTATTTAATCTATGCCACATCGACGAAATGCAGATCAAGTTAAATGCCGATTATGACTTTAAAAATTTGATCGATCAATTTCAACAATTTAATGGGACAAGTAGACGCAGTTGGATTTAACCAATAGGATTCTGCAGAATACGAAAGTGTGTTAAAGTGATTTGCTCTTTTAAATTACCAATAATCTTGTTATTTCGCTAATGAGATTTCCTTCTGAATGTTTACCATAAAAACGTCAATGATTGAACCCAAGTGCACAAAGTGAAGGCTTTTTTCTCTCTTTAATTCACATATTGTCGTCTTATCATATTTGTTTATTGAGCTCTCCTAGCAAAAATTGGTTGTTAAGTGAATTTAAAAGCGAAACTATAAATAGAAATTGAGCCTTTTATTTGACGTCTTGAAAGTCGCTCTGTTTGACATTGTGGTGATGTCAAGTAGACGTCCTTCTCTCAAGATTGTGGCAGCGTCGGACTAACTCCTTTAATATTTGGAAAGATTAGAGGTGTAGTTCTTCGTTCTCTGTTATGAAGTGCAAAGTTTTTTTAGAATTTGCGTAATTCCTTGTCCTTCTTTGGTTGAGACATAAGGGTTTGTTAAGGCCCCTCGACAAAGGTATTCCTTTGTGTCTGTCTTTTTTACATCTTTGAAACACTCTTCTGTTCCCCAATCCCTCATCTCGACTTTTTTCACTTTGATGTTCCTTCCTCTCTGTGAGACTTGAAGTCAACTAAAGGGCTAACGATAACTATCAAAAAGCCTGCCATTTGATATAAATAAATTTTAATTGATGGGTGATCAGTTTATGTAATTTAATTTGCCCAGTTATTGAATCGTTTCAACTCTGCTTCCTACGTAATTCGTCTACGCAGCCTTATTTTCAAATGAAATCTCAGTTCTATTGTTCTATATATATATATCCTCTCTATCACGTACTCTTAAGCTATTTCGGTTAGTGGCAAAATCTCTTTTCAGCTTTTAGAATTTGCGTAGTGGTATTTTAGGTGACTTACGTTCATCACTGTCAAGGTAGATTTTTCGAGCAAGTATGAGATAAAATTGGCTGCTTGAACGAAAGATTCCCCTTTTAAACTAGCCTTCATCGTGACCTCATTCTAGTTAACCTCGTGTGGGTATTTACGTTCAAGGTTTACTTTTTTTAAGGACAAAATTTCGAGTCACGCCGTGCATTTGTTCAAAATCTTTAAGATTTGAAACTTGAAATCAATTAAACTGTAGGAGTTGGTAAATACACTTTGTCATTCATGAGAACTAATTGTATATTTGCAACATGGGGTGTGCGATAGACTTACCTCCACGCGGTGCACCCTGGGCAACGTATACTCATACGGCAAAAAAGTCTATTAACCGGCAGTTGACTTCTGACTCCAAAATACCATGGCCCGACTGATTGTCATATTCGACCCCTACCACAGTACTCATCTTACCTTTTCCCTACCTTTGTGTCTGTCTGCCTCTTTTACATCTGTGAATCGCTCTTCTGTTCCCCACCCCTCGACTTTCTGCTACTTTGATGAACCTTCCCTCTGTGAAGCCCGAAGTCAGCTAAATGGTTAATGATAGCTATCAAAACGCCTGCCATGCGAAAACAATAAATATTTGCAACATTGGGAAGCTTTCCTCAAATATCCCAAATTGTTGTGAGAGGAGAGACGGGGGTTCTTTGTCTACGGAGTTTTGACTTTTCTCTTGCTTGTCCCGAAATGTAAGCATATGTGTGTTGTCAATTAATCATGTTGAGGATTCTGTTAATTGCCTCACATTATCATGTAATGTGTTCCTGTGTCAAGCATTGTGGATGACATTTTGATAGGTATCATGTCCTTCTTAGATTTAGAGAATTAGGGTAGTTGAAATTGTTTGAGTCAGTGTTCTGTTCTTCGCCAGAACCCCTCCAGAGGGGGGTGGCTTGTAGTTCGGAGGGAGGTGTGAAAGACTGAGGTACGTGTTGCATAATTTTTCTTTGTTGAAATCTCGGAACTAGTTCCTTACTTAACTACTAACACCTTTGCCAATGGCGTGTAAGTACCACGCCTATACACCACCAAGGTAAGGCGTCACTGTAGTCGTAATCCGTGTATAAGTAACGCCAGCTGACTACCTATGGAGGTATGCTTAAGAGTGGATTTTGATGCAATCGAGTTTGAAGTAAAGGTGGGGGGGGGGGTAAATGAGACTTTCTCCCTTTTTTAACCACAAGCGAGGACAATGAGAAAACGCAAATTGAAGGCCAGTAAGCAGTCCTGATTCATCATTACATAGGAAGACTCGTGTGTGTGTGTGTGTGTATGTGGAGATGATGCAGTCTTGGGCGCACGTACGCACCTAGCTACGTTCGTGTATCGCTTTCGCTTATTTGTCTCATTTACTGGACAGGAGAGCGCAAAAAATCCCGTAAATGCTGTGCTCTTAATAGGAATTCTGTTTTTACAGTCAAAGTTCGATTAATCCCACTCTCCATTATAGTTTTATTACCGATGGGAGGCTTTATAAAACTGACCGTGTTACTCTCTCTCTCTCCAATGATTCAAGGATACTTCATTTAAAATTAGCTTGTGTAACCACTGGTTATGACAATCCTTAAGCCCAAGTTTCGTTAAGTTTGAGTTCTTATATACTATTACGCGCACAATAAAGACCCTCGTTCCATTTAGAACTGCATCAAAGCTCAATAAAAGCCCTTTCTTTAATAATATTACGCATGCGACGCTCTTATCATGCTACCTCGAGAGCTGTATTTGCTATAGTTCAATAAATTGCAGTCTTCTCTAGCTAACTTGATTTATGGAGTACAATTCATGTGTACTTTTTGCTAAACAGGAAAAAAATCCATCACATCCTCTGTGTCTCTCCTGTGCGTATATAGTCTGACTTTTCTGTCAAATCAATACCTATTGGGGTGGTAATAAAGTGAAACTCGATACATCTTAATTCTTATTCTTTATAAGGATATCCCTAGAAAGGGAGATAAACTCCAAATTTGACCTGTCTAATAGAAAAAATTAAGTCTCTTTCTGATTTTATCAAACATAGGGTTTACTATCACTAAGTGTCACAATTCTGGTCATCGTTCTCCTCTTCGTTACTTCCTTGATTGCTCATCTCATCTCCTCCCTCCCATTCCCCCCCCCCCCCCCCCCCCC